CCAGAAGTCTAGGTTGTGTTCCTGATCATGTCACATCCACACCAACTGATGACACCAAACATCCAGATTCTGTTCCTGAACATTTCACATCCACACCAACTGGCACATTATCTTACCTGCGCATATGTTAAGATTTCCGTCTTTAAGACGATAACCACTGAGACACATTTCGTCATTTACAGACGAGTTTTCCTGTCCCGACTCGTCTTGAGGCTCCAGGTAGCTTTCTTCGGTGAATCCAAAGGATTTTAAGCAAAATGCAGTTGGTTCTTTGGAAGAAGATGTAGATGTCAAAAGGTCGTTCTGACTCCTTTTGAAGTTTGGCGTTTCTTGAGCTTCGACTGAACTTTCAGAGGCTTGACTGACCGGGTCTCTCATACCCACCTGATTTGACAGAGCTAATACTCCAACAGTTGGTATGGTTGTGAAATGTTCAGGAACAGAATCTGGATGTTTGATGTCATACACCATCTTACATTTTAACTGTAACAACAATACACTTAAAATACATCACCTTACATTTTAACTGTAACAACACTACACTTAAAATACATCATCTTACATTTTAACTGTAACAACAATACACTTAAATACATCATCTTACATTTTAACTGTAACAACAATACAGTTAAAATACATTATCTTACACTTTAACTGTAACAACACTACACTTAAAATACACCATCTTACATTTTAACTGTAACAACAATACACTTAAAATACATCACCTTACATTTTAACTGTAACAACACTACACTTAAAATACATCATCTTACATTTTAACTGTAACAACAATACACTTAAATACATCATCTTACATTTTAACTGTAACAACAATACAGTTAAAATACATTATCTTACACTTTAACTGTAACAACACTACACTTAAAAAGCTTCAAGAAATAATAAAGTAACCAAAACTGCTTAGCTTCAAGAAATAATAAAGTAACTAAAACTGCTTAACTTCAAGAAATAACAAAGTAACCAAAACTGCTTAACTTCAAGAAATAATATATTTTTTTTAATTTTAAGTAGTAAAAATAAATATCAATAACTTGGATGACAAAAACGTAAATAAAAGTTATATGTGTTAATATAAAAGACATGACTTGAAACGTTGATTAAACGATCACAGTATAAAACGGTTTTTCTTTAATACAAGCACATAATAACAAAATCAATTAATACTTTAACTTTGTAATATAAATCCCGTACAGTAAATATATATTAAAAACAATCAAAGCGTGTCATAAAGACATGTTCTTTATCAGACATTCATGCCATATCACTCGGGCAATATAGTTTTTCTTTTTTTTAACCGGTCTCACTAATCATTCTGCGGTCGAGAATACTTTGAACTGCTTTAAACCTATTTACTAAGTAACATTAAAAAAAAAAACCTTGATTTTCAGCTCACCTGTCTATGGAGGAACCGTATCTTAGCTTCTGCTCTATAAAGTATTACATGCTTGACGATCATGTCAGCTGAAGTAATGCTACCATGAAGCTGAGGATTATAAAATTAAGCTACCACTCTATTGGGCGAGCAGCCGACGTCAGTTAGCCAATAGTAGACGAGCTCTCACTCTATCAAAGTTGGGGGCTTTGGGCAAGCAAGGGCAGACACGGTGCACTAACCCGAAGCGCGAGACAAGCCTGACACGTGTGCATGCCGAGAGTGATAAGCAAGCCTATATATAAAAAAATGCACTGGATATTAGAGTCACCTCATCAACGTCTGTCGCTGCGCCGCCCCTGCTATAGGACACGTCGGGACAATAACATTCCATCTTGAATAATAGAAGGGAGGAGGAGGGGGGGGGGGAGGAGATCTGTGCGGTTGATACTCGATGTCCGTGAAAAATATATCTATACAAAGTAACTAAAATCAACTTAATTTTGTTCCTCAAATTTTACTTCAACTTTCTTCTTCTCCTACCCCTGATGGCTAAGCGGTAACAAGTGGGTTTCGATACCGGCGATGAGCAGAAGACGGATAGCTTATTGTGTAGTTTTTTTGTTTATATTTAACAATAAACTTTTATTACCACTTCGTTTCTTTAATACACTTTTTCCTCATTACTCCTATCCTCCTGTTTCCTCTCCTAATAATCTAAAGTTTTATTTATTCTCCTATCAAATTTTACATCTTCTTCTATAACATTGCAGTCACCCGACTTACCTTTTCCCCATTTTTTTCTTCTCTTTGGATTGATTTTTTGAATTATTTTGTTACCAAATCTGCCTTTTACTCCTGTCGTTACATTTTTCATCCTATCATCCTTGACACGTGCACACATGGTCGTTTTTTTTCAAACGTTTCACTTACTTAATCTTCTTTCGCTAACGATTGTCACGCTCTGACAAATTGGAATTATTGTTGTTATTGGAATTTCAGTCTGTGTTCTACTTTTTGCTAATAGTACCTCGAGGCCATGCCACGTAATTGTCCTCTTTAATGTAAATATAAACTTTAACTTCGTACGTTCAAAGTCAGTAACCCTAGAGAGGAAATACATAAAATACAAACTGTTTAATGTAACATAAAAACCGGTCAGTAGTTTGTTCACGGAACACTCTTCCATCTGCCTTCTCTCGGTCATGCGCTTTGAAGACGATATTTATTTGTTTTGCAAAGAAGTTAATGCATTAGATGTTTTATCACTGTAACTATCGGAATATAAACAAAAACCGATGTCTGTTCTTGTTTTTTGTATTACAAGATAACCGTCCTTCTCGTTCACTTTGTCTAATATATAAACCTCGAATTAACATCAAGTATCTTTGATCTGAAGGTCAAAGAAAATCCTTTGATATCACTTTTAATTATCAGACACGTCAAAAAATATCAACGCTAGAGGTTTAACGTTATCTTTTTGTCAAATCTGTCCGGTGTCCTTATAAAACACCTATCTTTATCCAAAGGCCCGGCATAGCCAGGTGGTTAGGGCGTACTACTCGCAATCTGAGGGTCGCTGGTTCGAATCTCCGTTCCACCAAACATGCTCGATCTTTCAGTCGTGGGGGCGTTATAATGTCACGGTCAATCCCACTATTCGTTGGTAAAAGAGTAACCCAAGAGTTGGCGGTGGGCGGTGATGACTAGCTGCCTTCCTTCTAGTCTTACACTGCTAAATTAGGGACGGCTAGCGCAGATAACCTTCGTGTAGCTTTGCGCGAAATTCAAAACAAGCTCTCAAACTGTTGTCTGTTCTATGTCCATGTAGCTACTTCGCAGGGTGTGGATGGATCTTTACCAAAATTGGTATGGAGGTTCATTAGGTCCATGTGGGGGGTACAAACAAATAGCTACGTGACAGCTGCTACACTAGCTGCACCAGAATACTGTTATAACGTAGTCAAAATATCAACGTATTTCTGTAAGCTACGCCAGTTTTATGTGAGTATGGCGGATGTTTCCCAGAAATCTCATGGCCATTCGCCAGATTTTGTTACAACTACGAATCGGACAAAATCAAAACGGATTTCTCTAGCACGAGCTTATAAGTGCGACTCCAGTACACTACGGGATGTCACACAGATCAACAAACTTTTAACTGTAACAACACTACACTTAAAATACATCATCTTACATTTTAACTGTAACAACAATACACTTAAAATACATCATCTTACATTTTAACTGTAACAACACTACACTTAAAATACATCATCTTACATTTTAACTGTAACAAAACTACACTTAAAATACATCACCTTACATTTTAACTGTAACAACACTACACTTAAAATACATCATCTTACATTTTAACTGTAACAACAATACACTTAAAAAAGCAGTTTTGGTTACTTTATTATTTCTTGAAGCTAAGCAGTTTTGGTTACTTTCTCATTTCTTGAAGCTAAGCAGTTTTGGTTACTTTCTTATTTCTTGAAGCTAAGCAGTTTTGTTACTTTATTATTTCTTGAAGCTAAGCAGTTTTGGTTCAAGACCACTGATATCCTCCTGTAATAACGCTAACAAACAAAACACGTTCTTCACGACCACTCATATACTCCTGTAATACTGCTAACAAACAAAAGATGTATTATTCAACAAGACCAGTGACATTCCCCTTTAGCAGTGCTAACAAACAAAACATGTATTATTCAACACGAACACTAATATTGCTCTGTAGCAGTGCTAACAAACAAAACATGTATTATTCAACACGAACACTGATATTGCTCTGTAGCAGTGCTAACAAACATGTATTATTCAACAAGAGGACCGGTTTACAGAGCTAATCTAAATGTATCACAAGCGATTTCTTACGTAACCAAAACTGCTTAGCTTCAAGAAATAATAAAGTAAGAACGTGTTTTGTTTGTTAGCATTACTGTTCTTCAAGACCACTAATATCCTCCTGTGTGTTTTGTTTGTTACGGTATTACAGGAGGATATCAGTGGTCTTGAAGAACGTGCTTTGTTTGTTAGCATTACTACAGGAGGATATTAGTGGTCTTGAAGAACGTGCTTTGTTTGTTAGCAGTATTACAGGAGGATATTAGTGGTCTTGAAGAACGTGCTTTGTTTGTTA